GGGGAGGGGGGTATGGGAGGGGAGGCGGAAGTATCTGGACCCTCGACAGCAACGTCCCCAGTCGCGATGTTTCCAAGCAGACGTTGACTCTACGGCGTGGTTGATTCAGAGAACTACCCCGGGGTGCTGGGTCTACTGTTTGGTGATGTCCGAGATCCGGTGGGTGTCCTTCCTAGGCGACGGGTGGGAGAGGTGAGTCAAGCGTTGCTTGTTGACTTGACTTGAAATCGTAGCGACAGGAGATCGATCCGCACACGGACTCGGTCCTCGGAGAGTGGGGAGAGAGTAAGTAAGCTCGGGAGATGAGGACTGCCCGTCACGTCGGGTCGGGTGGAAGACGGTTCAGACTGTTGTGATGGGCTAGAAGCTCGTGAGATGCAGCGACCACGAGGGAAGGCAAGGAGGAGGAGGGGGAGTAGTAGTAGTAGGAGGAGGAGGAGGAGGAGGAGGATATGGGGAAATGCCGATCATGCGAATCATGCCTCGAGAGCAACATGGAAAATTGCGCGGAGCACGGCTGCCTTTGTATTATGCTCTAAGCAAGAGGGAGCTTTCTCTTGGACGGGGTGGGCTTGGTAGACAAAGTGGATATAGCTGGACCAGGACGTTCTGGGATCGGCGTCTCGGATCCGCGAACTGCTTACACCGACCGACTACGGTGGCCTCAGACTGACGGTCCAACCCCACCCGGACAGCATTTACGACCACGCGCCGGTGCGAGATTATGGATTATGCAGCGCAGTGCACCGCACCGTGGATAATGTCCGTCCTGTACAATTCCAGGAGCGCGACTAAGAATAAACCGGCCTAGCTGCCTGGGCGACGTGGATTATCCACAGGGGTGCGAGGAATCACAGTGGCTTTGAAGAGGCTGGACGTCTCGGCTAACCTTGATCATTTGTTTACCTCCCCCTTGTGATTAATCTGCGCAAGTGGGTGCCAACAGGCCGTCGTGCCTTGGAGCATCTTATCTGATGGGACTTGGGGGAGGGGAGGGGAGGATGTCCTGCTGCCAGATCTTGCTGGAAGTCTCTCCGAGGGAAGAACGTACCACTAGTAGTAGTAGATGAGAGTCGCGAGGACCGAGTAGGTAGGTACTTGCGCTGAGCGAGATGGGTGCTAGTTTGATCTTCATGCTGTAATCACACATCCAGATCGAGGAAAGGTGTAGCGCAAACTATCTTTGCCTGGCCGCGTGATGGTACTCTGTATGGCCAGCGACGCGGAACGGCTATACGGTACTGGCGCGGACCAAGATGAATGGAAATTGTGCAGGGTCGTCACAGCCATACCAGACACGTCGGATGTATAGCAGAAACAGATAAAGATGAAGGTACCCTCGTTCCCGAGCCGGGCCTGGAGTACTTGAGGTTGCGGTCGCTGCTCCGGGTCGACTCGCCATGCCGTCGCACCCGTTCCCATCTGGCACAATTCGGTTGACAACAAGGAAACATACTCCGCGCGCGCAGGAACATAAATAGGCCAGCCCACAGACGACTGCTATCCTTCGGCGCCGTGTGCGATCTGCTTCGCTACGGTACTCGCAACGCGGCAGCCCGCCACCCTCCCCCTCGCGGAACTGTAAGCCTGGCACCCCGCTGACTGTGGTCGCAACCTGCGTGCGCCCGACGCATCGCCGGTTGGAGGTTTGGGGATTTTCTCACTCATCCGTGATATATTACGCCGCAGCCACTCGGAGTGCTCTGGCCGTGAGTGAGTGCCGCGTCACGTCCGTCACCCGCACTCGTCGCATCGCGGGCACTCGTCTCTCTCGCGCTCCCAGCCCGCTTCCCCACGACGCGCTGAAGCCGACCTTTCCCGCCTGCGGCGGTACCGCCAGACTCGCAGAGCGGGCGGCGACCCAGGTGGGGTACCAATACATTGCAATACCAATACCAATACCAATACCAATACCAGTACCTATCCAATTCCGTCGCAGCGATGTGAAAATAGCCGACTGCTCCTGAGGGATGATAGTAATTTATAAATGCGGACTGGGACCCGAGAGTGACGCACGATGAGCAGCCCCTGAAACTCCCTTTCCGGGGACGCATCAGCCGTGCACCTTTCCACGTCCTGTACAGTAGCGTATGACATAGATTCGCCCCAAAAATACCCCCATCTCACATTGATAGTAGTACTACGTACTTCCAGTCGAGCCGGACGCATCCCCGGCGGGGGCCTCTCGAGAGAAGCTGCACCCTCGTGCATTGGGTGATTACCAAAAGCAATAGTAGCACGGTACATGTACATCCGGTCATACTATACTGCACTGCACTGCACTGCACTGCACTGCGCTGCACTTGGGCGCGCCTGAACTTCTTCCACGTTCGTTCTCGAAGAGCGCCATCCTGGATCCTTTCGGCGAAGATCCATGTCCCATTTTAATCGTACTCATCGCAGGCCCGTCAGAGCCACGTGCGAGAGCGGACACGATAAGATTCCGTGTCCGAGCTACTACTACTACTACTACTACTACTACTACTGTATCCCTAGCTCCGCCGCGTCCGAGGAATACGGCAGGTGGTCGTCCAAAGTCAAAAGTCAGAGTCGGTAGGCTGGCTTACCCCCCTCAAAAAACACAAGCCCCCCCTTTTTTTTTGGGGCAAATTTAAATTCGGCCAGTCTTGGCTCCCGAAAGCCCCCCTCCCCCCCAAGGAACAAGACTTCGCTCTGTTTGATGTCGGCTGGAGCTCGGTTGAAACCACATGGGACTGCCACGCGGGCGTGCCAATTGCCAATTGCCAATCTACGTAGTACGTAGTACTATACTACGTACTACTGCGTATACCAACGGTTTGATCATCTCGATTGATCGGCCAGGCTCTTCTCTTCTCCTCTTCTCAGGTAGACTGGTAGGTAGGCTTATTTGATGGAGAGATCACACACACACACACACACACACCTCTCTGGCTCTGCTGCCGCCGGAACGCCTCCGCCTGGCTCGTCTGTTGATGCCCCAGGTTGGATGGAGGGAAGCCTTGGATATCGTTCGTCTCGGTTCGCAGAAGCATCAGCTGGACCAAATGCAACGTCATAGACGTACTACTACTACTACTACTACTACTACCTATCCCATCCCATCCCCCTCCTTGAAAAATAGAGCCGGAAGTATATGTCATATTGCTAGGGGCTCGCTCGACAAGGGTCTTAAACTAGTAGTCCTATAGTCGTAGGCCTAGTCCTCGTCCTAGTCCTAAGTAGTGGGATGAGTGTACTAGTGGTAATAGACGTCTCGAGATTTTAGTAGTACTACTACTGTGTCGCCTTGAAAGGTTTCTCCAAGCCAGTGATCGCCGATCCGTCGGCTTTACTGTACACGGAAAGGCTTGGAGCTGGGAGCGTTTTTTTTTTTCTTCTTCTTCTTTTTTCTTCTTCCCAGGAGGGACAAGATGCTGAAGCACAAGATCTCCTGACAGGTTGCTTATGAAAAAGCATATTCGGCGCTCGGTAGCCTCTCAATCCCGAGCCTGGCACCGCGCGCTGTACAAGTACGTAGTAGTAGTAGTACCCAGTACCTGCCCTGGACGGAGTACAAATACAACTTGTTCCCGAGAACAGTCGACCCATTTTACCTCGATTTAGGAATGCTGCTACTTATTAACGCAGCACGGTGCTCCTCCCCAGCCCACCTGCCCACCTGCCCAATCATCCCTAGGGCCTACGCTGTGGACTGTGCAGCTCCGATCTTGCACAGATTTTTTTTCCTTCTTATTTTTTTCCTTCTTTTTTTGTTCTTTTTTCTTCCTCGTCTTACCACTCCCACTACCTGTTGCAGTGGTGCAGCTGTGCAGTTGTTGTAGCATTGGCAGTCTAGAACTGCTGCGAGGTATCTCTCTATCCCGCTTGGCGCTTCCTGACTGCTGGGGTCGGCCGGCAGTTGTCGCAGATACAGGCCACATCCCCGCGGGTTTGAAAAAGGGAGATCCCGTTCGCCTTCCTGGGGACGGAAGAGGAAAAAAAGAAGCTTTTCTCTCCTCGCTGCCAGCATCGAGCGCAGAGGGGACAATCTCATCTCGCCGGGGCGGCTGCACTTTAGATCGGCCGCTAGCCCCTCCCCCTCCTCCTCCTCCTCGGGCTCGACTCCACGAGCAATGCCACCCTCATCACTGCTACGCAGGCGTCACACGAGTACCGGTACCTACACACCTACGTCGTAGTACTACGTACTTCCACCTGGACCTCGCGCAACGATGCGCAAGACGATCGTGTTGTTCGCGGGGGGACCTTCCAGAGGTCAACAGTTAGTGACAAAACGGTGCCTGGCCCGACTTCTCTCGCGCAGAGTGGGCGCGCCCTCGCGTAGGGCGTGTTGTACAGTACCGTACCGTACCGCACCGGGAGGTATGCGTTCCGTACGACCACCATGTCCCGGCCGCGCTGCCAAATTTAACCCGGGCGCTTTTACCTCAGACAAGTTAGGTCGGATGATGATGGCCTTGGGGGACCGGGGTACGCCGGCAAAGCATAATGTTCCTTGCAAACGTTCGACCGATGGCAACCTGGATGTGTTGGGCCCAGGCCGGGTCTTGAGCGGCTGTGCATGGTGAGTACGAAAACGAGAACTGGGGGAGGGGGAGGGGGAGCATTAGCATTGGCATGGGCATGGGCATGGGCATGGGCATGGGCGTGGTGGGCTGATGGCACGAGGTTGGCTGGGAAGTTGGCTTTATTGATTGTGTGTCGGTCGCTTAGCCTTTGTTGTTTTTCTCTCCGTGTTTTG